GCTTGTCAGGTAGGAATGTACGTAGGAATCAGTAGGAAATCTAGGGGATAATTTTCATAAGCAAAGCGTAATTTCGTGCGTTTGAAAAAGTTCAATTTGAAAATTATAAAAACTTCAGCCACTTGTACATCACTGTGGATGTCAAGCCAAAGGTTGTGRCCATTAACCTTGCAACAGATCATCTTGTCCTGAACCAATTCATCAACCTCCCTCTTCTTCCCCTGTGGCTTGCCACTGGGATAACATGGAACTTCCACAATTTCATTGTTGTTGTTGACAGTAAACTTGTTGTATACTGGACCAAACAGGTTGACAAGCTCCCTGAAGACCTTGTGGTCTACACCACAGCTGTTGAGGAGTACTTGATCAAGGCCTGAGTGGAACATATGGAGGAAGGGGGATTGAGCATATCTTCAAATTGCAAGCMCGGGTGTTCTCCTGTCCCTCCGGCGTAAACTTTGACTTGAAGTTATGAACTTTTGCTGATACATCATGATGTACCAGGTTCTACTGAGCTAGTTTTTGGATGGTGGCATTCATGATTGAAAGGCTGGRTTCATGATTAAATCACCTTRAACCATTTTGAACCATTTTTTGTTTTGAGTGGAATCAACTCAGCCATTCAGTCATATTAAAAAGCTAGCTCAGTAGAACCTGGTAGACTTTCTACAAGGACATTCCAAGTTTATAACTTCAAATTAAAACTGATTTCTCTCTAGCAAGCCCGAATTCAATTATTATGAAACAGGTAGTAGTTAGTAAAGCTATTAAAGGCAAGTCCTGTACTGGCAAGTTAATCGCAATTCCAGTACAAATACTAGTAGAAATTTTAGCTCRTTTTTACAGGAAAAACCCATTACTTTAACTGTCATTAAAAAATGTTGAGAAATTGTCATTCAACTTCTGAAAAATTTCTGGCACAGAGAATGGCTCAAGATGGCGCCAGAATTTTTCCAGGAACTCAACCAGTTGAACCAATACTTGTGCATGATTTCTTTCCAAAATTGTGCATATTTTTTTTGTGGAATGGAAAGGAAAATTACGGATAACACTACTAAGGAAACCGAAAKAGTACTACAGAAACAGAAACGGAGACAATATAAACAAGGAAAAACCAACCAATGGATAGAGTAATAGTAGTAGCGCTCCCTCAGTTCTATGAAACCATTGTGGAGGACTTTGAAGTTGCTCTCCAGATTGAAGATGAAGCAGGTCAGAAGAAGAGAGTTCAGGATTTGGTGCAACAATACAAGACCATGARCTGGGTTACGCAGGGGCTGTCCAATGAAGTCCAGTTTCTCTTCCCTACCAGCAGTGACATTGATCAACAAAGCAACAATGAAAGAGACTTGTCAAAGTTCAAGGAGGCCATGGAGAAATTCTGTATCCTACACCAGATGTTTGCTTCTGCATACCMATTCCATCAAGTGATGAAAATATTATGTTCCAAGTGGTCCGTCAADGTTGTATGCACTAACAACTCAATCCAGTGTCACTMGAAACCAGTGAGAAAGAGATGATCCTTAAATGAGAATCCAATGAAGCACCRCAAACCAAGGCAAACCCCAGTTTACAAGTGCCCATTTGCAATTAAATATTCTATCCCTGGTATCAAAGATAAAAGCAAACCAAGGATTCTTCTGCCGGTTAGGATCACTTA